CAGAGGGATTCAGACCGAGATTTTCGATACAAATTCTTCGATAAAGAAAACCCTTCCTAAACTCAGGCAGTTCCTAAACTCGGAGTCTTACGCGGAGATAGAGATAGATGATCACATGACTATGATAAAAGAGGACGAAAAGACAGTCGAGTTTTCGAGATCGGTCGCGAGATTCTAAAGTGTATCCCGAGAAGTTTGCAGTTTGGCGTTTGCGCGACCGCTCTACGGTGGGACACGTGATTTCCGCGGGGTGGTGTACACTGAGGTCATCGTGAATGGTGCTGAAAGGTGGTGAACGTGTTTCCTACGGCCGTTAAGGGCGGTTCGTGATGTTTAGCTGCCACGGGAGATTTTAGGTGTACGGATTATCGGGGATAGACTACATATTGATAAGGTAAGTCCGTCACCGTTTATAATCATAGATCTCGTTTACATTTACGCAGAATGTCTTTGTTGCTCGTTAATCAGGAAAATTCTGAATGGTTTATGGATCATTTTCCTCGACAAGATGTGTGACAATGTCATTAGTTTCTTTATCTTAAATATTGCATTTTATCGACAGACAATTTTTCAATTATTATTACTGCTTTTCTCATCACTCACAAAATTGGTATAATTTTTATTTAACAATTATACGCATAAATGTGACATTTTTTTTATTTCAAACATTATATGCATTGTTAAAAATATCTACATCAAAATTCTAAGTCAAGAAAAGTTTTATCTAAGATAAAAATTTTATCAATTTTAATTTGTCCTCTGTCGATTCGATAAAATAGAATGAAGTTATGTTTAACTACAAAATAAAGTATAATTAATCTGCAAAATAATCCATAAATAAATAACGATTCTGGAACATACTATGTCAAGGAGGAACATATTGAGTCATACATTTGTACAATAAATTTGTGTGAAAAAAGTTTTCTGTAAGTGAATAAATAAATAAGAGATGTCACAGCGGCGTAAATTTCCTGCGATCTAATTTTCTCATACACAATTCTTGTAGGCGGACATATATCTGATACATCCATCTAGAATTGTGCAGCATCTAACCACGGAATTAATTCTTTACAAAGTTTGCGACACAGCACAGCAAAGCATATCTCAAAGAGATCCGTGAACAATTATCCGCCGCGTTTTTTAAAACGGAAACTACCGCGAGCCTGCCTTCTTTTTCTTTTAGCAACGCCTTTATGCCCGCGATATTCGTGGCCCGCAGCGAGAGATCGTAAAATGTGACTGTTTCGCGAATATACTTGTCTGCGCTGCTTCGCGTTTCTTCTCTTGAAAGCGACGGAAATAGCGACGGTGTATGTGATATCGTTTATTCCTGTTTTCCTTTCTGCTCTTCCGCGACACGCTCTCATAGAAATCCCAGATAAGATCATCAGAAAGCAATAAATTCTATGATATGACGTTAATTGTGCACGTCTTTTAACTCTAGCTCTCTGCGTCAATAATCTGACTTTTGCTAAATATTTAGTTCGTGTTATATTTTACGATATATTTTCAGATATTTAATATTTTAAGAGCGATAAGAAAAATGTCAACGCATGTTTTTCCCGCTTGCCTTCTTCTAAACGAGTTAGCGATATAGCACCTGGACGGATATAATTTTTTGCTTTTGTTACAATCTCAGTTTTTGATATGCAATTTACATACGTCTATCAAAAAATTCTAGCAAGAAAAACATCGTTTAAAATTTCTAATAAAAATAAAAGCAACTATAAATTAAAATAATTTGTTCGAAATTGATAGTTGGCAATTAAAAATTGTCGATGCATAATAATAAGAAAATCTTTCTGCCAACATATTAAAGCAATCTGCTTTAAATGCTATATTATATCATCTAACTAAACTGTAATTATCCTTCATATAATAAATTTGCACAATAATAAAAAGATAGACACATATCAAATAGATAATAAAATATTTTATAAATATATTTTGCGTAATAGTTCAATAATTTTTAAAGAAATGCAATATATTTTTCAGGCGGATTTTGTTCTCATATTTTCACACGAAACAATACATAAAATAAGAAGAGAAAAGTGACCATTTAAGTATAGACATCCTACCACGAGATTCACATTTTCCAATAATTATTGGCTTGCCAAGCCATATATCATTTAAATATTAACTCGTTGTTTTTCGCGCGGAGAAGTACGGCTTCTTTTTGATTGATTCCGCTGCCCGACATCGACCGAGATATCAGTAAAGCGCCATTGAATTTTTAACGATAACACGCTTGTTTTTCCCGCTCGCCTTCTTCTGAACGAGTTAGCAATACAGCACCTGGACGGATATAATTTCTTGCTTTTGTTACAATCTCTCAGTTTTTGATATGCAATTTGCATACGTCTCTCAACGGAAATTTTGCAAAAAGTTCTTATTCTTTCTAATTATTTTAGCTACTACATTATCTCTTGTTAACTATGGAAAAATATGCTCTAGAATAATGTTAATCGTCTATCACGTCTGAAAAAAATCATAATTTTGTTTCAAAATATATTTCTAAAAGACGTATTTATTTGAGTCAACAATTCCTAAACCGTCTCAGATATTACCAAAAATTATCCCAAAAATGATATTTTTCTGCGAAGTTTATCATCGTCCCGCAACAACGTGCAAAATTATCACCTGAAAATTTAAAATTCACTCCACGCGATGCGAACAATAACTCGTGCGGTTTTCGCCACTTAATTCAGATTATGAGGGACACTAATCAGCGTCAAGCCCGACATAACGGCGGGCCGCGGAGAAACGCGGTTAAAGAGTTCGAGATACGTCTGATTGTGTAAATCTCTCCTACCGCGCTAAAGCGGAACGAAATTAGCATTGATTAACTTAAACTACTTAAGAGAAAGTGCCCGCGCGTGAGCACACGCGCACGCGCGCGCGCGCGCGCCCTTATATGGGAAACTTCGTAGTTAGATTAACTCGCGTGGCAAAGTAAGTTACAGTACATGACGCATCCATTTTCCTGCAAGCTTTTTTCCTCTTATCTCGCTCCTCTCATCTTCGCGGTTTAAGCGCGACTCGCCAGCCAGTCACGCCGCCGTCGCTCGCGTCAGCCGCGCGCTTTATAAGATTTATGCGGAAATGATATTACACGAGAGAGTGTGTTACACGGGACTAAAGGGGAACTGCGCTTGTCAAGCGATTAATAGGCGTGATAGGTATTTACGCGCGTACATAATTTATAAGCGTATTAATTTATACACACACCGCGCTATTCTTAATTTCATACCTGTATTCAATTACATTTTATTTATAGAATTTTTCATAAAATGATCGAGTTATCTACCTATTATTTTGATTTACTGGAGAATTAGAGAATATAAAATTAATATTGTATTTTATTTTCGATATAAATGTGTCTTTATATACTCTTAAAATTGATTTCACGAGACAACTATCTCTTCGACATCGCTATTTTGTAAATTGAAATCAATCAATCTTTATGGTTTAATTTTTCATATTTAAAGTCGTGAAAATTTAGTTTACGACTTATATGATATTTTTCTGGATAAATGATTTTTCTCTCGTTCAAAATACTCGATAGATAAAAATGTAGTTGTTATTTCGGGTTTAGGGTCGGTGTACTCCGTTTGGGTTGTATTGTGTTGCAGGTTCAATCTTTGAACCGTAAATATAGATTAGTTTAACCGGGACGTGGATCGATCGCTCGTAGCTGAGCTAATAGGTTTTCAGTCGGAGGGAAGGTCTACTAGTCTCTGCTAGAGTCCGCTTAATTAACCGCGCCAGCTATTTTCTCTTCTATCTGTTCGTTTCTTCCAATGGTGAGAGCGTGCGATATAATCGAGAGACGGTGCGAAGATCGAAACGATTGGAAACAGCGATACTTTGATATCGATGTAGAAATCTCTGAGATGTATTTAGCGTCTCGATTGCTTCGTGAAATGTTATGCGCTTGACAATTTTAAGTTGTAAAATATGAAATAATTAACAAAATAAATTTGTGAATTCTTACACACAAAAATACATTTGCAAAATGTCAAACATTTTAAATTTCAAAATATATACAGAGTCAACATTAAGAATTCATTTTCTGTAATCTTTTCATAAACTGGTTTTTCTATTATCAATTACTTTCCTCGAATATCTATATAATTTTAACGAAATATTTTAAAGCATAAATATTTTTCTAAATAAAAAACCTAGATTTTAGATTTTATAAATCATCAAATTGAAGGCGATAATTTCAATCAGTAACCGTTGAAATTGAACACTTCACAGGCTATATTAGAATTCGTGAAACGTATTCAAATACAAAATATCGGATTTCTCATTCAATCGCTTCGTTCATTTTACAGATTTGTTTCAATCAATTTTCATGTTGCTTCATTTCTACGAATTTATTAGCATTTATCGCAATATTTATTTTTACCAATGCGTGCATGACAGCAATTTTAATTTGCGTTCTGGCTTACAAGCTCGACGTTGCTGTTTCATTAACGGGATACAATTGATTTATTCACATAAAATGTAAATTTAATCGCGCTGTTTTTTCTCAGCTTCTCATTCGAGTGAGAATAACGAAATGGCGCAAATGTAAAAATGCTGAGTGTATCGTACAAATATAGCGGCGGTGAACGATATTTGACTTACCCACATAGATGTCTGTGGGGACTTCCGGGTTCGTCTATTTATGACGCACTCTGTACACCCTCGTTCGCCTGAAATGACAGATTTGTGAGCCCCGGTATTACTTGGGTTCGCCTCGCCTTCGAGTATCTTAACTTTCTACTCGTGTGAGTCCCGTGTAAGTACCGAATAGGAAGGTATCGATATACGTGCGCGCACGTGTGCGGGTATCCGTGAGTGATATATGTGCGCTTACATTTAAGGACGCCGCTTTAACCGGAGAGGAAGCGGAATGCGACTATCGGCCGGGAAAAAGAAAGAACGTGTGGGGAGGGAGAGAGGGAAAGGAGCAGCCGAGAGCGAATCGTTTTAAACTACCATCCACTTCACATTCCCGATTTCAGTTAGGGACTTGTTTATTTCCTTTTTGGGCTTCCGAGGACTTCCGTGCATTATACGCTCGTGCGCCACCAGAATGCAGCGCAACGAGAGGAGGCGGAGTGATGCGGGGCGAGGGAGTGAAAGGGGGATCGCGAGAGTGGACTATCGGTGAACTATCGACGAGCGTCTCGCTCGCCTTCCTCTTATTTGCTTCTTTCCCGTCCATTAAGAATCTTGACAATCGATTCGGCATTTTTCCCCTCATCGCAATTTATACGATTTTCCGAAACGCCAATCGGCCTCCGTCGAAAAGCCGAATCATTCCGAAACAGTTTTTTGTCTCCTCAAGCCAAGAGCATTCGACAATACAAATCGCGACTTTTTAATCTTGGCATTGAAATCTGCTTTTTTGTATCTTTTTTTTCTACTGATCTGAATTACGAGTTCAAATACCTCGGCATTATACATGCAAAATAAATTACAAATAAATAACTAGAGTTAAATTTTCGAAAGAAAAAACTTCAAAAATATTTGATGGATTAATAAAAGGGATAATAATCATTATTGCAATCTGTGTTCAGTTTATAGTATTCGAGCGATAATAATAATAAACTTCGCCGTTAAGTACTTAAACTCCAAATAATAAAAAATAAACCGATGAAGAATGCATTCCTAGCGATGACACGGTCAACTTTCCGGCGCAATTAACGTTTCAACTCTCCCCCCTTCCTGCACAATGGACGACGCCGGTGTTTTATATCGCGCGAACAGTTTAATAAACGCAGCATTGTTTAGCCCACGGTAACGAGCTGCTGAAAAATTTCGATTATTTCGTGCCGGGCGTTGTCGAGGCGTTGTGACAAAAACCGCAATTATCGGTATATCGCGCGCGCCATGTCGCATCGTGTTGCATGTAAAAATTGAACGCATCAGCCATTGAAGGCGAAGGGTGTTAAAGTGATTTATGCTCTCTTCTCGGTTCATATTGTTGTTTCCATCGTGTGCGTCGCGCGTACATGGATACCCGGAATTTATTAGCTTGACAACCGCAGCAGCTCGCTCTTCAGCAACAAAGAGGATATCGTTCACCTGCTGTAAATTTGCGACGATTACGTTACAACGAGGTCGGCGTCCAGGTGGATCGTATCTCACCGGAGTATAATTTTTGTACGCTGCGTTATAAATCTCGTGAACTCGGTGTTTAATCACAATGTCGTTTCATTTTATTTTTTTAATATTCCGTAGCGCTTCTGCTTCTTTAAACATCATTTTCGGAGCCTTTTAATATTTATAGTGAGAATGAATACATACTTCAAGTTCTGAGATTTTTGTTAAATAATAAGTAAACTAACGCGTTTCATTATTCAATGAAATTTATGTCATAAGAAAGACTTCGTATAAATTATTCAAATCGTTTAAATGCCAGATGCTTACAATAAGATATAAATGTATCTCATAAAAAAAATTCAATTTTTCTTTACAAATCTGATATTCTACATGTAACAATTTTACAATTCTTTAAAGTTGCATTTGTCAAATAAAAATAGTGGTAGAATTCTCGCTAAACACGTAGCTTTTCACAAGGTTTGTAGGGTAACTACCGAAAATACTCGATTCAACCTCGCTGAAAATAGGAAGTCCGGTGCATAATGCAATACCTGCGATCTGTGGCGCCTTATGCGTCGTTCCATCGCCGCGCCAAAAGAAGCGCGAGAGGGGAGTGGGAGCGAGGGGTTGAAGGATGGCGCGGAGAGGGCGAAGAGCAAAATCGTTTAGCACGCGATCTTCTCGTAATTCTGCACGCCAGCGCCCCGAGCACGCTTCTTCTTCGTCCCTGTCCGACGTGTTACACGTGTTACACGCCGCTGCCACGCGAACGGAGGGTGGAGATGCACTCCTCTTCTCTACGGCCTTCAGTGCGGGCATCGCACGCGTCGCACGCGAAGCCTAATTGATCAGTGGATCGTTAACACGCGCGCTCTCGCTCTCTCTCTCTCTC